TATTGACATCAGTTCTTTTATAGAAAAAGAGCCAAGATACACTGTAACTGTGATGAAGGAAAGCTTTCACATATCAAACTGTGAAATTAAATATAAAGATAAGTATGTAACTTTACAGAGGAAGATACAAACATTTGAGAGATAAATTGCTCGCTGTCTTAAAAAAGGTGATTATAACTATAGATTAATACATGACACTATCAATGAAATCCTCATATGTGCTAATACCATTAATATTATCAGCTATTAAATAGTACCATTTATTTAACATCACTATTGAAAGGTTTCATTAATGCAAAAAAAAATTACCTTTCCACATTACAAAACTTAAGTTCATTAACACCATTCTTATGTTTGAATTACAGCTTAGAACTGAAAAATATGTAATATCCTCACTTCCAAAAAATTATGGTGGATAAGCAAAAGCAAAACAATTATAATTTTTTATATTTTATTAATCATAATAAAGAATAAAGGCTAAAGTTTTATTTTCTGAAAGTAAATTCTCTTTGGTCGTATTAAAAGTTCTTCCAGCTCCACATAACATCCTGACTAAAAAGGAAAAACAAAAAACTGCAGATCTGGAAGCCATCATTTTAGTAAATCACTGTACAGTTACAACACTGCCTTACTTTACCTGCCACCCCTCTAATTATGGTGTTTAAGAGTGATTGGCTAGATTTGAATCCCTGTTCTACCACTTCCTAGCAGTATTATCTTTTGCAAGTTAATTTCTTTGTACCTTGTTTCTCATTAGTAAAATGGGGGAAAACAACAGTACCTCCTCATAAAATCAGTGTGCAGAGTAAATGAAACAAAGCATATAAGTATTTAGAATAGTCCCAGAACATGACAAATACTCAACACATGTTAACTGCTATTATTACTGCAAAAAGTTTAATTGTAGAGGCAGTAAAGTGTGTTATTGAAGAGCAGATGCTTTTACAGTTGGACACACCCAGGTTAATGTCCCAGCTCCACTACTCACTAAGACCTCTGGGCAAGCTCATAAATCTCCTTAAACTTTTACCATCTAAAATGTTATTAATGCTAGTATCTATTTCAGAGTTATTGTAAGAATTAAATGAGACAATGAATATAAAGCCCTCATCTCAGTATTTGACACACAGTTAAGTCCTCCCTCACCATTTTTATCATTTTCATAATAATAATATTTGATAACATTCCTTGAAATAATTGGCAATAATTCTGGGGTATCAAAACTAGAGCTAGAGGGACTTCCCTGGTGGTCCAGTGGTTAAGAATCTGCCTTCCAGGGACTTCCCTGGTGGCGCAGTGGTTAACAATCTGCCTGCCAATGCAGGGGACATGGGTTCAAGCCCTGGTCCAGGAAGATCCCACATGCCACAGGGCAACTAGGCCCGTGTGCCACAACTACTGAGCCTGCGCTCTAGAGCCCACAAGCCACAACTACTGAGCCCACGTGCCACAACTACTGAAGCCTGTGTGCCTAGAGCCCGTGCTCCGCAACAAGAAGCCACCGCAATGAGAAGCCTGCGCACCGCAATGAAGAGTAGCCCCCACTCGCCGCAACTAGAGAAAGCCCACACGCAGCCAAAAATTAATTAATTAATTTTTTAAGAAAAAAGAAAAGAATCCACCTTCCAATGCAAGGGACGCAGGTTCGATCGATCCCTGGTCGGGGAGCTAAGATCCCATGTGCCGCGGGGCAACTAAGCCCGCATGCCACAACTGGAGAGAAGCCCACACCCC